TCCTCTCCCCCTTCTCAAATTTGGCGGCACCCACTCCATGGATTTCTTTGCTGGTCTTGATACTGGCATTCTCAGTACATGTCCTGCAAATCTAAGCCTTCTCTTATTAACAGATTCTTGCAGGTCCCTTTGGCCTGCCCTTCACAAAACTTCTTCATTTCTCACATGATCTCTGTATGATATTTTTAAGATTTTTCTCAAACATTACCGATGGAATACATTCACTTTATTCTCCATAGCTGCTGTTCTTCTCCAGGTTTCGCTAGCATACAAGGCTGTAGGTATTACAATGGCGGAGTATAATTTGATTTTAGTCTCTTTTCTGATGGTGCTCGAGTTCCAAATAGGTCGAAGCCTATTGAACACACCTGTAGCTCTATTAAGTCTTGCTTGAACATCAATGTCTGATTCTCTGTTAGCCGCTATCTTACTACCCAAATACACGAAATCTTGTACATCTTCAATCTCTGATCCTTCAATCGTTACTGCCCTGTCCAGATTGTGTCCGACTGTCATGGTTTTAGTTTTCGTAGCATTTATTCTCAGCCCAACTTTCTTACCAATCTCTTGTCATATCTTGGATGTTCTTTCCCAATTAAAGCGATATCATCTGCAAAGTCCAAATCAGTTAAAGTTCCATCACCCCACATTATCCCATCACCAACATTCATCGCTTTTTTCATGACAAAATCTACCACCAAAAGAAAGAAAAAGGGAGATAACACAAACCTTGTCTCACTCTACTGTATACATTAAAGTACTCCGTGGTCCCAATGTTAGTTTTACACAACTACTGGAGTTTTCAGTACATAAAGTTAAAGAATTCGAAGTTGTTACAGAAGAACAGGAGCCATTCAGTATGTAGTAGAAGCAACCAATTTATTTTTGCTTCATGAATGCTATTGGCCTCTGAGAATAGGTAATCAACCATTCATTATACACATGCTGGCTGGGGTTGATATAAATCTTCACACTAACTGAAATAGTAGTGGAAATGTCTTTGTTCAGATTTCCACCACAGCAAAAGATTAGTGTGTCACATTACAAGTGGCAGAGATAAAAAGTAACTTCTTTGTCATGACCATAATTGTTAATGTTATATGTACTCGCATATATTTCACAAAAGCAATTCCACAATGAATCATACGTCTCCTGTCATTAACTTTTAAAGAGATGCTGTTATTGATGATGAAGGATTATATATGTCACTTGTTCTCTCTCTATTTTCAATCAAAATGGTACTTTGTAGCAAGTATCTAACAAAGTAGCTAAAGTGAAATTTTTATTGAGCAAATCCCATTTAAAGCCCTTCTGTTAAGAATGCTTTTGTTGTTTCCAGTCCAATATGGCTTGTGTTATTCTTTGACAGATAAAGAGTAACCAAAGATGAGATAACTTTTGAATTACTGAGTCTGTGAAGCTAATATTTTAGTAAATTCTTTACATGACCTTAGGAATTTTAGGCATTCCTCTATAGACCACAGATTATTGTTGATGTTTTTAGCAGCAGAGAGGCATACTGTTCTCTTTTGTTTCAAAACACTTTTCAAGGAGATAGTATCTTGAACTCCCTATTGTTTGTATATCTCATTCAAGTTTCTCTTTGTATGAGTTTGAGTTTGTTTGAAATTAAGTACAAAGCTGCACGATAAGCTATCTGTGCTCTGTCCACTGCAGGTATCGAAACCCAGTGTCCAGTGTTGTAAGTCTGCAGACATACCACTGTGCCACTGGTGGGTCATTTTGTATGGCAATTAATTCTGAGCACGATAGAAATAACTGGTTGAAATTTTCAGTAACTGTTATGAAAGCAGTTCCAGAGCATCATTATCACAAGTTGTAATGTGTGGAAGAAACTCGTTCAGCATCATTAAAACTTTTCACAATATTTCCTCAATTCTCTATCATAAACATGTGAAAGTTTCTTTTTGATTTTCCATATATTCATTAGGTCTTCCAACAATTTCTCTATTGTATCACCAGTATGACTTCCAGGAAAATGCTTGACATTAAGAGCAGCAAATTCCTAATCAGTAACAACTGAACACAGATGGTTACTCAGTGTAGTAAGTTCCAAAATCTGCAGTGTAACTTTTTAGTAATGTGAAGTCCTTTTTTTGTAACACTCTTGAATAGTTTGTACTTATCAAACATTCTGGAACTTGAACCCACATTTTCACTTACAATATTAGATTCAAAGTAATTCCACACAGGAGTCTCTTCAAATTTCAAGTCACTCATGATAATCACTGAACACAAAATTTATCAATAAGTTACTCTTCATAGCACTGACAGCAATCATGATCTAAGTCTCAGAGATATCCAAGTGTGTACTGCAAATGACAGTTATGTGCATGTTTTGTTTGCTGACAATTGCCAAGTCATTATTCACACATTACAATTTGCATATATTGTAAGACACACTAGACATTGAGATCAAAAGATGTATTGGAAAAGTTTAGACAAGATTTCTCATAAACTTTTTGTCTCTGTAGAAACACATCATTCTCAGTTTGACAAGACATGGTCAATTACATTACAATTATCTATCTGAAATTATTATATGCTCCTTTGTTAAATTATTGTTACTGCATTCTAACTAGTATAAAATATATATCTTTTTGCAAAATTTCGTACTTACTCTATGTCTCATAGTATTGAAGTGCATTTTGATACTAAAAAAACTGTTTGTTTAAATAAATATACCAGCTATTCGGTAGCTCAAAGAACATGTTTGGATGTTCAGTATTAAGTCAATACACTATCCATTATAACCCAAGAAAAAGGCCAATCCCATTGTGTTTTTTTTTTTATTCAGAAGGAATTAAAGTTAGTTGACAAAAAGAACATACAGAAAGTGACAAATATGGAGTAAGGTTTATACTTCATGTGTAAAAAGAAGAATGATGTCATGGAAAAGATATAAGATTACTGACAAACACCTAAAAATTTGGTAAAACTTGTAGTGAAAAACAAGAGAGGATTATAGTTTGAGGACCTGTTTATAAATAAATGCAAGTTTTATAATCTTGTATAAGATTTTGGTGAGGCCAATTTCAGAGTAATTTAGGCAAAACTGATTTCTGTATTACTAAATGAATATAGAAATGTAGAGTGCAGGGAGGGAGCACTGGATTCATATACAGATAAGGAGGGGTCTGAGATACTTTTGCTTACTTTCTTTCTTAAGTACACTTAGAGAATAGCTGATTCAGATGTTTAAATTTATTAGAGGCTAGAATAAAATGCCAATCGTAGGACAATTTAAGCGAATGATAAGCTTGGAAATAAGAATGTATTTATAAAGAGTAAGTTTTGAAGGCCCAGAATTGAACTTATTCTTCTACAAATTACATCTTTGCAAGTTATTAACTCAGAATTTATTTATTTTTCTGCTAGAAATATAATCAAAGATTTGTTAGGCAAGTAAACAGGTCCAAAAGGCCTTATTCAGTTTGTCTTTTTGTCACATTTTCAAGTAGACTGATAACATTAAAAAGTGAAGTACTGACCATAACTGAAGAAATTACAGTTCTATTAAAAGAAAAATGAAAAACAGATATCACCTTAGAAAAACAGGTTTCATTTCATGTGATCGAATGATGAAATTGTAAACTAAAAACATTTTTCATTTAAACCCAACCATAGTTTTTAATATTGTTAGTAGTACTTAAGTGATACAACATTTACTCACTGAGCACGTAGCTAACCAAAAGTAATAATTTCTATAAGAATAAACAAGGAAGAAACACAATCCTGTTTTTGTGAGGTGTTTCATATTTCTTTATGTACATGCAAAAGATAAAATACTGTTCTCACACATGGATACTGACTGGATAAAACTACCAAAGCTACAGACTTGGAAAGCATATTTATGTGTTAAAGAATTAGAAAAATGTTCTGCTAAATACTGACCAAAAAAATTTAGTTAGGCTAATAAAACATGGTTAGGTAATAGATAATGAACTAACAGTTACCTTTTTTCACACATATATTTTGACAGTGCAGTAATAAAACTATTTAAAAAGTTTTTCAACAACTTTACTTTCATGTACAAAAGTATTTGCTTGTTATTTCAAGGATACAGTAAGAATTAGGATGAAAAGAAGTGAACCAAGGTATCCTCCAAATACAGTCATCCACTGACTTGCTGAGAGTTGAGTCTTGTACACTTGCATCCCAGCAAAAAGAAGGAAAAACAAACACAGAGACAGCAAGCAAGACACTCCACTGGATACGGCTGAAAATTAAAAAAGGATAAACATAAAAAGGGTTTTAAGTTATTCTCTAATTTAAAATCCTAAACTGAAACTTGCTTATGATAATAGTTACAATTAACACTGGTTTAGTAGTAACATGCATGGAAAACTTCATCTAAATATGCAGATTTAAAACTGTCACATGTGCGTAACACTAAGTTTTTTGTTCTAAGTATGTGATGGCACACTTATTGTACAACAACCATTCATTATTTACTTTAGTAAAACTATTGTACTTAATTTCCTGGATCTGTATAATGTGTTGCAGTACAAATTCATATGTCAGTATTATATCAGTATAATAAGTAATTATATGCAAAGTACACAAACTTTTACTTTATCATGATAGCTATAATGTAAGTCATGTTCATATAAATGAATTAATGTCACATTGTTCTGATATTGTATATATTTTAACTTATTTTCTTTCATTAGATGCTTTTAAGATTCTTGTTTTTACAGAAAAAATGGGTCCTTTAAGACAAAGCTATCACTAATACATTTACTGTGGAAAGCTTGAGAGAATAATACCCGATTAAAAACTTTAACTGAAATTTTTGTGGGCAGAGTGGGTAAATAAGATTTATTCTGGACCCAAAGATGCTTGTGGGCAGCACCGTAAAAGATATATCTGAATTACTATTTCTATGCACCCTTAATTAGAAATCTGGAATGGACAAATTAAGAAGTATGTGGAAAATAATTTCAGTCAAGCATCACTTTTATTGTAAATATTAAAACTAATGATTTTCAACGTTCTTTATTCTTTCAAGAATCAATACTTACCAGAAATCAAATGAGAAAAGTTAAGAATTATGTTATTTCTTTTTATAACTATAATACAAATTTAAAATATACTCAAAATAAATATTATATTAAAAACTAGTAATCAATATTTAATTAATATATTTTGTTGTCTTACTTCAAAAAGAACTAAGTTTTGAAAACTAAAAAAATTTAACATTTTTGCCATCTTATGTCTAGACTTTCATGCAACAACGTTATTATTACAATTCTGCATTACAAATAAATATTACTATTACTAGTACTGAGTAGTAGTAATAGGGTTAATGGTAATACTTCGTAGTGCTACTATTTCTAATATATGTAATAATAATATTATTATTAAGCAGACTAAAAGAAACAGCATTAAGGAATGTTCATATAATATGATAAATATTTCATAAGCCACATATTAAAAGTATATTTTGATAAAAATTAGCCTAAAATATTACCCATGGTAGTTCAGGATATGCCCAGTGAATATTTTATATACTTGATAAACTACGTGCCCTTTCAACTTAACAATTACTGCTTAGCCTAACCGTACCAATAGCATCACGCCAACTGTCTTATACAGCATTGCCATCTTGTGCTGTAATAATATATTATAAATAGGAAAATAATATAATACACATATTATTTTTGTGCTGCGCAACTGATCAGTTTTAAATTTAGTTTAGTAGTAGAGCTTTGTCACTGTTCATGTCAACAGTTTTTAGTTCCACAGTATAAAGCGTCACGCTGTAAATAAATAAACAAATAAAAAACTTTTAATATTAATTCAATTCATTGTTTTATAAAATTCTTGATCAAAGTAATTTTGCTTCAGTAGAATGTCATAACTGAAACAGCTATGAATTTCACCCTTCCATAACTGGTATTGAATATATCTTTATTCATATACATTCAGGTAATTTTTCAAAATTTTCCTGCAGATGATCAGCATATGTATATTTATAAGGTCCGTGTTGACCAGATGTCTCAAGGTCGCAAACTTGTGCTAATCATTTTACATAGGTAAAATCAATATACTTGCAACATTTGTTAAGTTTAAAGCTAATACGTGCGTGTTTTATATAAACTTTTAGAAAGATAGCTTATTCAAACATGCAATACAAAAATCTCTACAGGCTGGTTTAAGGTACATAAGAATTTCAAGCATATAAATTGGGAAATGTTACAGTCAAATCATGAGGGAAAAAGGTTTTTAGAAACTGTTCAGGATGGTTTTCTTTATCAATTGGTTAAGAAACTTACAAGTAATAGTGCTATTTTAGATTCGTTGTTAAGTTCTAATAAATAAATCACTTATAGGGTGAGGACTATGGAACATCTTGTTGCAAGCGATCATGGCTCAATTAGATATGATGTTTTGCTCTATATGGACATGAGAGAAGAATTATCTGTTGTGAATTGAGCAAATGAATCACTTGGAAATACCGATCAGATGTAGAAAATTTTAAACATAAATTCTTAAATATTAAAGATAGACATAAACCTTACAGAAATGACTGCAACTAAATAACCAAGTTGGCTCACAAAACTTATGAAGGATAAAAAGAAAGAAAAGCATTATAAATACAAGAAGATTAAAGTGGCTGCAATGATGGGATATTTGAGGGTTATAGATGACCAAGAAAGTTGATCAAACGGGAAATTAGGAAATAAAAAATCGTAAACAATAATGCATTTTGAAGTTTTGAAACTTTAGACTACACAGGGCAACAAAAAATATTTATCCGCTAGTAGAAAAAATGTAATTGTTTCTGTGTAATTTTACGACGCTGATTCTAAAAATTATATCGAAACTTATTGATCTCTTTTAGTTTTCGAGTTATGATAGATTTATCCAAAATACTTATATATCGTAAAAATAACAGTTCTTTAATAACCATATTTATTCATTGAAAATTGCGTTTAAGAATGTTCAAAAATGACACATAATAGCATAACCAGTTTGAAAAAGCAATGACTATAATAATATTATATACTGAAAATACATTCAGGTTATGTTCATAACTTTTATCATGGTATTATTTTTTCTTACAAAATATCTGCTTGACTTGTTTCGTCTTTTGTGTATGTTCCATTGTCGAAATATCTTGGTCGAAGCGCTCACCATGTTCTTCGCTCACTGCACGTAGATCATTTAGAAAGAAGTCTAAATAGGAGTATAAGCAGTGCATCTTTAGTGACATCCTAGACCCCATTTTCCTGTAGTTATCGAGCATATCATCAGTCATCACAGCATAGTTTTATCTCTGTGATTTCCTAAGAAATCTTTGATAACCAGTTTGAATGATTTTCAGGCAGCAAGCTCTTTCTGATTGAGTACTGTTCCAAAATCATCATCAACCAGCACTTCCCGAATATATAGCCCAACAAAGATACTCCCTTTCATTTATGCTTCACCGATTTTTGGAAATTTGTCAGACAGATATCTGAAACCATTACCATCTTTGTTCATTCCTTTTACAAAATTCTCCATGAGTCTCAATTAAATATGAACTGGGGACAAAAACCCATTTTGAGGATTCACTAAAGGTTGATACTGATATTCTGTTTCCCTGGTATGTAATTTTCTCGCAATGTCACCGTTCACTCCTTCTTTTTAAAATGATTTGTATCATTTTTTCTGTCCCAGAGACACAAAAAGCAACAATGTTTTGTATACCCACTCTGCAGGCCTAGCAAGAGTGTGAAAACTTTTAGATCACCACTCATGTTCCACTTATGGTGATCATATTTGATGGTCTTAAGTATAATCTGCATGCTTTGATAAGTTTCTTTCATGTTTACAACATGAGCAACAGGAATCGATGGCTTAATGCTCCCATTGTCCCATTGTGTAGAAGTACAGCTTTCAGATTAACTTTAGATGAGTCAATAAAAAGTCTCAGTTCTTAAGGATGATGTTCATTGGCTAATTCTTCCATTATTGCATCAACATTTGTACAGAAACATAAATTATCTTGCATGCTATAGTGAGAATCAAGACGTTGATGGCGACTTTGGTAAATTGAAACTCTTATTTCTGGAATTCATAAATTACATTGATGTAAACAAGAGCCAAGAAGTTCCACATGCTGCTTTGATCGAGACAAGTCACGAATCAGATCAATTATCTGTTCTTGTGTGATTAGTTGAGGCAGTTTATGTTGAGGTGTCACAGGAATAGAATTACTAGATGAAGAGGATGAAGATGATTCATTGTCTTCTTTGCAGGATAACTCTTCTGTTTCCCAATTCACTGATGAATGTGGCACTGGAAGACCATCCCCACGAGGTACTAGTTTCATTGCAGATGCAGTATCTGAATATCTAATGTATTGTTTAGTTTGCCTGAATATCCAGAAACATTAGTCATGTCAAAATAACTGTCAGTTTGGGCTCATGCCATATCATGTGAACTGCAAATGGCATACTTGCTCTCTTCTTATTCAGCCACTTTGTCAAGCCACATGTGCAAACTTTATAACACACATATGGAGTCCAGTGTTTTTCTTGGTCCCAAATTTTACACCCAAAATAGTGGCAGTAAGCTATCTTTACTTCGTGTGTGATATGTTTCCTTCGTGAAACTGTAATATATTTTCCACAAATTTAGCAGGAACTGTTTGGATGATTTTTGCACTTTCGGACTTTACATGAACTGAAGGCAGCTAGTATTTCAAATGATTTTCTAAAAACATGTAAAAGAATTTATGTTTACAGAACTAGAGTTTAAATGATTTAAAAAACGAAAAAAAAGTTTAGCAGAATTTGATTATATCGCGGATATGATGCGAGGGAGAAGATCGGATTTTGTTTTAACTGTGCACAGAGCGAGGCGAAGTGAGCAACTGAGTGAGGGAAAGACAACTAAGAGAGAGAAAGAGGCATCTGACTCAGCATATTTTAGGTTCAATCGAGGGGTTTCTCGAATGTTCTAGTAAATAGAGCTCATGAGGGTTTCGTGATTTCCGGGCGGAGCAGGTGAGCGCGGGAATGAAGCAAAAGGGATGCAATTTGCTACAATTATATAGAGAATAAATAGCATATGTGAACAACAAAGTTAATGTTTGAATTTATCAAAAATGTATGCCTTTTACCTATTAAACTGTCTAAGTAAATTTAATTTCACAGCATAAATCTATTGTACTGAGTTGATTGCATAGTATTTCATATAGTGCTGATAAAATATTGATATATTATAATAACTCAAAATCTAGAGGCGATGGACAAATTCAAATTCTAACCACGTTTTTGAAATCAGCACTATTAATTTACCCCGAATCACTTGAGTTTTCTCCAATAGCAAATTTCTTGTTGTCCAGTGTTATCAGTTATTTCAGTAACTAACAGATAACTTCAGAAATATCTGAAAATACATATTTAGGAGATATTATGCAGAGAATAAATCGAACACGGACAGCAAAGGAAAGAAACAAACAGAAGTGAATAAATAAACAAACCCTCTATTCACAGTGAAAAACTGTCATTCAACTATTTCACTTACTGGGACTCTAAAGCTACTAGCGCGAGACTGATAAATCTATTTTACATTTGAAGCATTATAGGCTATGCTTTGGTATTGTTTGTTTGTTGTTAAGCGCAAAATTGTGCCTACCACGGTCATCAATACTTGGACTTTAGAGTTATAAGCCTTCAGATTTGCCAATGTATTACTAGGGGATTGATGTGTTTTGAGATGATCCTTTGCAGTTTTTGGAGTTATTGGAGTTAGTTAGTGTCTGTTACATAGTTGTATCCCAGCCAGTCTGATATGAGCCGAGGTATTAAATGAAAGGAGTCGTCGGCACTGAATATAGCAGATATAGTGTGGTTGGCATATCGTTACACATTCTTCTCGATTTTTACCTTTACTCATAAATTCTTAGAACAGGTAAACGTCAAGAGAATGAGGATCGTTGAATAAATGTCCAATTGTTTAATGCTGTGGTTGAGAAAAGGCTCTTCTAAAACATGTCCATAAAGGATAAAGACATAGCAAGTTTTGATATACTGTCGAAACACAAGTTCCTAACTGTTAGCATATGCAACATTCATCAGAATAAAATTATTTAGTACATTTTTACGATCATTTGAAAGTTCGTTAACAAGAATGTTATATTAGATGCAGAACAAATGCACGAAAATTTAGAAAAAAATGACCAGAATATGTTTGACTAAAGATGTATTTTAAATTAGTCATTACAATAGGGACGGATGCTGTCACAGACTCAGAAAATTACACAATTTCAGAAATTAGCGTTTAGACTTTGACACGAGGGGGTAGGATATCGTCAAGGTTTGATTACGTAATTTACATTCAATCATTTAACGTAGGTATTTTTTTTGAAAAAAGGAAATTGTATTTTCTCTGAATTTCGTTATATTTAAACCTATAGTTGCCAAAGATATGTTTTGAAAATATACTAAAGAAGGAATTTGAATTTTACATTTAGTTTTTACCTCCTATACTAGTACTAGCAGAAGAGAACTACTACTACTAGTACTGTAGTATAGTATTACTATTAGTAATACTGCTGCTAATAGTACTACTAGTAATAGATTCTAGAGTTCTATTATTCTGAGTATGATAAGTTGTAGGTATCTATTATATATATTAATATTACTTCAGTATTATTATTTATCTAAGTACTTATAAATTTCATAAAATTTGAAAGGGACAAAAAGGAGCTTATTAGCCCAACAAGGATGTCCCTTCCAGCTCCCAAGTATAACCACCCTTTACTACTCACGTATTTATTCAATCCTTTCTTGAACTCAGTTAAATTTCCTGCCTCCACTACCCTTGAAGGCAGCTTATTCCAAAAACCAATCAACTTGTTTGAAAAGTAATATTCTCTAAACTACAAATGATTCATACACTGCCAAAATTTGAATTTATGTCCCCTTAACCTATTGTTTTCTCTGCTAAATGCAAAAATGTTTGATGGATCTATATTATCAATACCCTTAATAATCTTAAACACTTCAATCAAATCCCTCTGACCCTTCTTCTCTCCAGAGAATACAAGTTTAGAGATTTTAGTCTCTCCTCAT